GCGCAGGTAACGCGGCGGCGGCGCTGCGGCCCCGCGGCCACGGCGGGGCGCTCTTGGCACGGGCACGGACAGCGCGGGGCCCCCGCGCCGGGACCGGCGGCGGCCGCGGGGACACACGGACACACGGGGACACACGGACACACGGGGACACACGGACACAGCCACCCTCTGCCCCGAGAGTCAGCGGAGTTTGGGCCCGAACGGGCCGCGGGGGTCCCGGGCAGCCGCTCAGGCGACGCGGCGGGCATGTGCCGGTAAACAATGACCATATTGTGAAATGGAAAACAGACTCCGGCTCCCTCCGAACCGCCCGCTCCCACCGGATGTGTTAAATAAAAACCACTGGGGGAAAACAGCAGAAAGGCAAGAAAAAAAGGGTTCGGGTTTGGACGGACGGGGGGCCAGGAAACCCGCAAACAGGCGGATTTGTGTGCTCTCAGCCTGGTAATCCTCGCACGGACTGCAGCGGCGGCAGATGCCTTCAGAAAGAAATCAGCTTGGGGGGTTTGCGGTTAGATCTGGTGGGTTTTGTTGGTTTGTTTTTTTTTTCCTTTTAATATCGAAACTTTTTTTCTCCCCTGCCTTGCCACTGAATAAAACAAGAGCAAACTTTCTCTGCTGCAGGAAACCGATCCAGATTTCCCCGGTGAACCGCACAAGCAGCCTGTCGGGACGTCTTGGCCGGGACCCGCCGCGGCTCCGGAGCTGCCGGGGCTGGGTGCGAGACCGGCGCCCAGCTCCTCTCCTTTCTCTCCCTTCAAACGGCACCTTCCTGCCCGGACGTGTTGAAGTGCAGTGCCCTGGAATTTATGACACAAATGGGCTTCCCCCCCCCCCTTCTCTGCTTAAAACCTCTACCGTCCTTTCCAACTGGATGCAAACTGGGAGCTTTAATAAACTTACTTCCCCCTTCCCCAATCGTAAACGTACATCCCTATGCAGTTCTTCTCTTAAAAAAAAAAAATGGAGGAGGGATATTTCCAATGGATTTAAGCAAGTAATTAATATCATGAAATGCTTAGGGATTTGTTTAATGTGATTTTATATGAGCTGTGGATATTTCCAAAGCAAACAATAAGTTCAAGTACAACATGCATGGTTGTGTTACTAGCGTTACTCGGTTGGCTGGGAGATCTTCGGTGAGCAAACAGGCTAAATCTGGAGAGTAAACAATTTCAGAAAAACCTACAACTCCGGGTCACTGAAAACAGGCTTTTATTTGTTTTCCTTAGTGTCTAGTAAAATTCGATCTTTTTTTTTTTTTTTTTTTTTTTTTGCAACGCTGCTGTAAAATCACGAGGGACAGGCATCACCAGCCCCTGCCTCTCCAGGGCCCGGCCACAGAGACCATTGCCTGGGACATGGTTGCGTAGATGGGCTCAGAAAACCCGGTACAGGTGAAGGAGGGTGCTGCTGGCCAGGGTGCTGTGGGGAGGACACCTCCGCACAGCAGCAGTCACTTGTTGGGGGCTGTCACCCGGAAAGTGAGCTCTTGCGACGGCCTCCAAGTGGAGAAGCCCCACGGCGGCCTCACAGTGGTCCTGCCTACGCGTGAGGGTGATTTGAGCTCTCTTCACGAAGGGCTTCTGACCCTGGGCTGGAGCCGAACCAGATGGTGAGCATCGCCACGAGGCACTGAGGTGCGGCCACGCGTGGGGCCGAGCGGTCACAGGCGCGCCTCCCCTCGCCGGCGCTGGCGAAGGGGTCGGGGGCTCTCCACCCACGGACATCGTGCCACGGTCAGGTCGCCTTTCGCAAAATCCGCGGGGTGGGTGCCCTTAGGCCGGTATGGTGCCATTAGCACCTTCCCCACGTTCCCACGGCTGGGCGTCATGCCGGGAGTCTCCCGCCTGGCTTCGGGCCGTGCAAGGGTCTTGGAAATGCAGGAAATGATGTAACTAAAATTCGAGATATTTGGGGGTAATAGGGTTTGCTGTATTTAGCGCGGCGATCCCGGCCGGCGTTCCCCCTGCGAGGGAGGACGACCCGAGCGAAACATTCCGGTCAGACACTAATATTTAGCGTCACCAGATCAGAAAACGTGCTGGGAACCAGGAGCGCACGGTGCGTTGCTCCCAAGCCATCAACATAGCCAAGGGGGACCGGATGGCAAATCCGAATGGCGTGGCTGCAGCCTTCCCCCGCGGCGTTGCAGGTAGGGGTGCGGGGGCACCGGGCTGCAGGGCGGCGAGGCTGGCCGAGCCCCCTCGCTGGCTGCAGGAGTGGGGGGAGCCGGAAACCTCCCAATCGCGACGCTCCGGCTCGGAGATTGCTGTTGGTATTCACTTTAAAAGAGCTTGAATGGGACTTTTTTTTTTTTTTTTTTTTAAGCCGAAGCTTTGTTGTGCTAAACTAGTTGGACGAGTTAGGGTGTCGCTGCTCCCGATTGCTCTGGCCAATGGAACCCGATCCACCCTGCTGTGCGTAAGAGCGCAATTAAGGATTTAACCAAGCCTATGCTGCGCCCCAGCCAGCAGTCTGCCGGAGACAGACACCGCGCCGCAGCCTCCTCCCCCAGACATGTCTGCTTAGACCCGAGCAGCCCCGCCGCCAGCCCCAGCCCGCCGCCGGCTCCCAGCTATGACAGGAGTATTTGACAGAAGGGTCCCCAACATCAGATCCGGCGACTTCCAGGCTACTTTCCAGACGGCTGCAGCCATGCACCACCCGTCCCAGGAATCTCCCACTTTACCCGAGTCCTCGGCTACGGATTCCGACTACTACAGCCCGGCGGGGGGAGCCCCGCACGGCTACTGCTCGCCTACCTCGGCTTCCTACGGCAAAGCTCTCAACCCCTACCAGTATCAGTACCACGGCATGAACGGATCTGCCGGGAACTATCCTGCCAAAGCCTATGCAGACTACAGCTACGCCAGCCCCTACCACCAGTACAGCGGAGCTTACAACCGCGTTCAGAGCTCCGCCAGCCAGCCAGGTGAGGGCCGGGGGCCGGGGGTATGTGGGGAGCTCCAGCGGCGTTGGGGAGGCTGGGAGTGCGCGCCCCGGCAGATCCCTGACTCACGGGCAGCGGGGATGCAGCTTTCCCTGAATCAGAGGGAGAACTAAATATAAATAAACAAATACATTGGGGGGGGGAGAAAATTAGAAAAAAAAAAAGGTGGAGACCTGGTCTACCTTTTTTTTTAACCAACCCGCACGAACTAAAACAAATCCTAGGACTAGTGCTTTAGGGCAACAAACTTTTATCAGCTGCCCCCGGGCCGCCACGACTACCTCCCTCTTCCTTCCCCCTTCAAGAAGAAGGAGAAAATAGCCGAGCCTTGTTGCGTGTCTCAAACTCAGGTTCGCGGTGTTGAAGAAAGTTTCCTTCCCCCTGTGCTGGAGGGGTGGGGGAGGAGACTGGGAGGGGGAGCTCAGCCGTGGCGGGGCTGCGAAGCCGGGAGTGTTTTTACCAGAAAGCGCCGCGGTTTTAGTGCTTTCCCTGTACTTCTTTCTAAGTTGCTGTAGGGGGAAAAAAACAAGGGGAAAAAAAAAAAGAAAAACAAAAAAGAAGGGGACAGGGAGAATAAAAAAAGCAATCCCGTGGCGAAGCCAAGCGGCTGGGGCTTGGCTGGGACGACTGCGGTCGCGGCGGCGCTTGGGGACACGCCGGCGACGGCGGGGGGAAGGCACGGGCGTGCGGGGGAAGCGGTAGATGCCCTGAGTCGGTCTCTGCTCCGGACCGGGCTCTTCCCAGCAGGGCACCAATCATCCTCCGCGCACGCCCCGCGCTCCCACTCACGGCCGCGCAGAGCTGCACGCCCGGCAGGATGCCCGGGACGGGAGCGGGAGGCGGGGGAGGGCCGGGGTTGGCCAAGGCCTGGCGCGGAGGGAGCGGGGCCCTCCCGTCTCACCGCGGAAGCCGGCGGAGGTTGCTCGGGGCCGCCGCCCGGCGGCGGAGCCCCGGGGGGGAGCCGCAGGGGCCCGTCGGGCCGGCGCCGCTGCCCTGCCCGGCCCGGGGGCGGGATGCCGCCGCCGTCGGCGCGGTCTGCGCGGAGCGGAGCCTGTCCCGCGCCTTAACGTCTGCGTCTGTGTCTCTCTCCCGCCCTTGCGCCCGTGCAGAGAAGGAGGTGGCGGAGCCCGAGGTGCGGATGGTGAACGGCAAACCAAAGAAAGTGCGCAAACCCCGGACTATTTATTCCAGCTTTCAGCTGGCGGCGTTGCAGAGGAGGTTTCAGAAGACCCAGTACCTCGCCCTGCCGGAGCGGGCTGAGCTGGCCGCTTCCCTGGGACTTACGCAGACACAGGTACCACGAGCGGTTCGGCTCGGATCGACTCGGCCCCAGAGGGTCGCAGAACCCCGCGTTCACCCTGGCGCGGTGGGAAGGGCTGGCTGGATCGGCCCCCGCGGAGGGACGGGAGGGCGCGGGTTCCCGGAGCCGCGAAGCACCAACTGGGGCATTAATGGTCGCTTTCCCTCCCCACTCCCTCTTTTCTTTCTTCTCTCCTCCTGCCCCGCTCCCAGGTGAAAATCTGGTTTCAGAATAAAAGATCCAAGATCAAGAAGATCATGAAAAACGGGGAGATGCCTCCGGAGCACAGCCCCAGCTCCAGCGACCCCATGGCCTGCAACTCTCCACAGTCACCTGCGGTTTGGGAACCTCAGGGCTCGTCCCGCTCCCTCAGCCACCATGCCCACGCACACGCTCACCCTCCAAACTCCAACCCGTCCCCTGCATCCAGCTACCTGGAGAACTCCACTTCCTGGTATCCCGCTGCCAACTCCATCAACTCCCACCTCCAACCCCACGGCTCCCTACAGCACCCGTTAGCACTCGGCTCTGGGACAATTTATTAGAGTCTGACCTCTATTATTTTATTTTTTTTATTATTTTTTTTTGCTGTTCCTTGGACTCCTGTGTTTTACTGTTAAGGAATAATAACGAAAGGAATGCATATGGGGAATTTTTAAAAGGGAAAAGAAACAAACAAAAATATTAAAATGTGTAAAGCTTGTGCATGTAACTTATTGCATTTCAGAGGAAACCCTTTTTTATACAATACGGACATTTTTTGGCTCAGCTGTGGACACTATCAATGGTGCCTTGAAATCTATGACCTCAATTTTTCCAGAGACTTTTTTCAATGTTATTTTAACCCTGTAAATAATTGTAGATAGAGGAATTAAACTGTATATTCTGAATAAAATAAAATTATTTCGACCACGATAAATGTTTCCAAATTACCCCTTGTTCTCTTAATAAGAGGGAAAAAAATATAAGGCTGATTTGCTTGCCGAGAGAGACAGAGGAAAGAGGATGGGAGCTGGGAGTTCACATTTGTTTGCAGTGCCATGCAGTGCCACCGCAGCCTGGGCGTGCTGGCAGGATGTGGCCCTTGCAGGTCCCCACGGACGAGCCAAGGGGCGGCGGTGCTCTCTTCCCACTGGAAAAGGGGCTCTGACAGGACCGCGTACACCTTATCGCACCTTAGTGATTTAAGCCGAAGGGAAAACTGCCCATCCTGACGCTAGAAAGCAAGTCTCTCGCCTAAGCCGCCCCGAATCCTTTCCTGAGAGCAATTAACGTCGAGAGCTGCACACTCCACAGCCCATCAGTCGCCCATGTGCGCTCAGCTAATTATACAAATTATGTTTCCGTCAAAGGGAGCCACTAAATATATGAAAAGGATAAAATGAGAGCCCTGCTCCCCTCGCTCCTGGTAAAAGCCTGCGGCGGCTGCGGCTGAAAGAGGGACGTTGGAGAGGTACTTTTATTGGTTTTGTTTTATCTCTAGATACACGATTTAGGGAAAGAAAACGTGCAGCAGAGCCGTCGCTAGCGCTGTGCGGTGCTGGAGGCACGGCTTTGGCGGAGTGGCCGGTGCGCTGCCCACTGGCTTGGGACCACTCTCGTGGAGCGTGGGCCCCTCTCCCAGCAGAAACCCCGGCCGGCGGGGCCACCGCGGCAGCCGTTCCCGCGGGGACGCTCCTTCCAAGGGGGGAGCGGTAGTTCACGGCCGTGCGGGGTACGGCGACAGCAATGAATGTGCCAAAGGCATCGCTGAAGGATCCCCGAGATAAAAAATGCCTCCCTGGCAGCCGAGGCTGGAGGGGAGAGTGCTGGCAGAGGGGGAGGCAAGGCCTGAAAAGGCACGCTCCTGCCCTGGGGCACACTTACCTGTCTCTTGTCTTTCTCCCTGCTGTCCTCCCCCTCCTTTCTTCTCCCTCCGCTCCTGCCTGCCATGTTCTGTGCGTGTGCGTGAGTGCGTGTGCGTGAGTAGTTTTCTTCCCAAAGAAAGAAGCCCGGGGTTGCTGTTTTGTAACAGGTTTGGGGGTTGGTAAATGTCTTGCAGTACAATAGACCAGTTTGTTCGGTTGTGCTCCATGCACGTCAGGGTGTGGGGGTGTCAGAGCCACCACCGGGTGCCCACCCCTGCCCGCTGCCGGGCGGGCTCTGCCGCTCCCCGCGTCCCAAGCAGTTCTGGGGACCGGCTCCTGCTCATTTCACTCGCAAGGTTTTAGGTACTTTCCCCGACTTTGGGGCTGATGAAAAGCTCGTATTTGTCTCTTCTGCTTCCACCCTGTGCAAAAAGAAAACCAAAACCAAAAATAAAAAAAAAAGCTTGACCTTTTCATTTTCTTCCGTTCTTTTCCTCATTTCCCTCTAGACAAGCATTCAACCTGCAGTAAGAGATTCTCCCTTCCCCGAGGTCACTTCCCTTTGCAGAAAGGCTTGGACACAAGAGGTGGAAGTCAATTTCCCAGGTCGGTCCACCCACCCTTTTCTCTGAGCAGCTGCCGCGGGGCTGTTTGATTACGGTAACCTGCAGGGGCCGGGAGGGCCCAGGAGGACAGTGCAAGAACAGCTCCGGGAAAGTGGGATGCCGGCAGGCAGGATGGAATTCCCATCCCAGGCAGGGATAGGAATTCACACAGCCACCACTGGACTGGGCTCTGGCACCTCTCCTTTCTCCGAGCCAGCCGAGTCAACTCCACTCGGTTCTCCTGCCGGCCCCTCTCCCTTTTAATTTCCCCTCCTCCCAGATCGGGATGGTGTTGGGCAGGTTGGGGAAGAGCCTGACATCCCTCCTCCAAACAGGAAAAAAGATGCTCTCGCCGTGGCGCCAACCCCAATGAACACTGGGGGTCTACGGCCGCCTGCCCCTCCATGAGAACCTCGGGCCGATGGGGATGTTCCTGTCCTCTCGTCTCCGCACACACAGGCAGGTACACCCCGGCGCCTGTCCCCGCCTGGGTGCACCCCCTGGGCTCTGGCGGCGGCCGGAGGGAGCCTGGCTTGTCCAGACCTCCCCCTTTGCCTCCCCAGGAAGGGGATGAGATGAACTGTCCTTTGTCTAATGTTGGGTTTGGGCTCGGTGGATTGCTGGCTCGGGGCTTTCCCCCCGCCTCTCCGCTCTCTTCTCCTCCCTTCTGTTTTCCTGGCGGCCACTTCCATGTGGAGCCGGGGCAGCTCGGGGAGCCGAGAGGAGCCACATTCCTGTGGGTGCCGAGCGGCTCCAGGGCTGAGCCACAGGGCCTGACACACACAGAGACACACAGACGCGCAGACACACACACGCACACACAGAGCAGCCTGCAGCCCCAGATGCCCCAGATCGAGAGCTCCTGATACTGCCTGCACCCCTGGGGCTTTCACACCCACAGCAGATCGACCCCCGGCTGCACTGGCCTCCGGTTGGGGCGCACTCCCACAACACCCACACCTAGGAACACATACTGCCGACCACCCCACACCTACGAATACGAGGGGAGCACCTTCCCACTTCCTCTGAAGAGCCCTCGCTATCCCTGATCGGGCGTCCCCGCACCTCCCTGCGGACAGAACCTCCAGTCCGATGGAAAGGGCTACCTCATAGAGAAGTGCCTCCGTTTCCCTCCCGCTCCTCCCCGGGGAAAGAAAAACCACCCTCTCCAACCTGTCACTGCGGCAGGGCAGCCCGCTCGTCAGGCATTCCTGTCGCCCTCTTGCTCCCCTCGATCTCCCCGGTGCATTCGCTCCCCTGCGGCTGCGCTGCCTCCGCGGCCTCCGCGCTCTGCCCGCTCCGCCGCCGGCAGCGCTGTGTCCCCAGAGTGCATCCCACATGTGGCATCGATTAGAGACTTCTGCCACGTAATTTTGCAACTGACAGACTTTAGGTGTTTTGGTTGTGGATTACGGAAAGGAGATCTATTGCTCCAGGAAAATCGGGGCGGGGGGGGGGGGGGGGGATGGGGTGTGAACCCCCTCTTCTTGCTTTCAGTCATTTGAGCGATTGCCTGCAGTAACGCAATAACCTGTTTTATAGGTCAGACAAGAGCCGTGAAAAAGGAACTGCATGGTTTGCATAGTCCCCCTTTCTCTCTCTTTTTTAGAGAGAATCTGTGTTGCATCAATTAAGTATTTCTGCTCTTTGTTCGGCGGTGCGTCTGTTTACGTGTGATTTGGGGTGGATAAGCAATGGTTCATCTGCCTGGAATATAGACCCGGGAATTGCCGACACTCACCCCACGCCCCGGCTGTCTGTGAGAACACCTTCCACGGACACGACCTTCAAGGTCGCGGGAAAAGCTCCCAGCTCCCTCACCTCCTTATTTCCCTTCAGGTGAGGCCCCGGGGAACCAGCCCAGGCCAGAACCCGCGAAGGATTGAGCACTTGGCGAAGGGGAGTCTGGGGATGACTTCTCGCTCCCCTCCCGCTGCCGCCGTCTCCTCGGCACTCCCAGAGAGGCTGTCTAAACCTCAGCCTGGGCTTTGCAGGATGGCTTATCCAGCTTCGGCGGGCCAGATCCTGACCCGTCTCTGTGCTCTGTAGCGGCATCGTCTGCCTGGCTGCGAAGCTGGCCCTCCATTCAAGGAGATCTTTACAGTCTCCTCGATACGCACCATATAACACGTTTTATAGGGCTTTTGCCTCGCGGTATCCACTGAGCTTTCCTTTTTTTGAGGTGTTTTCACTAATTCGCATGGAGAAAAGGGCACAGAGGAAGACTGCGAGGTGCCAAGCGCGGCTGCGGCCCGGGGAGGCCAGCAAGGGCCGGGGCTGGCAGCCGACCTGCCCACGGGGCCAGCTCCGGGTGCTGCCTCCCTGCACCCGGGTCCTGCGGGGCCCGGCGGCAACGGCGCTTTGATGATTTAGCCCATTAAAAAATGAAGCGGGTTTTTGTATTTCGTGTCCAGGGTTAATAAAAGTTAATCAGGAGACGAAAGCCAACTAACCCAGTGAGTTAACCTCGCTAGCTGCAGGTAGTCCTGTTAGCCAGGCTCTTTTGGTTAATTAATTACAATTGAGTCGGTTTTGTGATAATTTCCCTAAGGACCCCTGAGGACGGGTGCACGGGAGCGCAAAAGGCCTCGGACTCCACAGCCGCCCGGAGAGTCCCTGGCCCCGGAGTGCCACATTCCACACTCTTCTCCGCCCGATTCAGAGTCTCCCGAGGCTTCTTGCCCGAAAGTGACGTTCAGTCACCTGAGAGGAGGCACACGACAATGGCGAGCCCACTTTTGGGGATGGGTGGAGAGCGCGGGGATTCTTCGGGTGCCAGGGAGAGGCTGCCGGGAAGAGCCGAGCGAGAGGTGGACTCATGCAAGGCGGGAGCCGAAGCATCAGCCCCTGACTGCACATCAGGCTCGCACTCCTTGAGATTTGGACACGTAACGCTGCAGACCACTGATTTGCTGTTTTCTTAATTCCCGCTCTTCTCATTCCCTATGAATCAAACAGTCTTTTGTCCTTCAGAGTTTGATTTGATCGCTACTGTTCACATTCCACTTTTGTATTTTTCTCTCCCTATACCATTACTCATTGAGTGCCCCGTGAAATTACAATCGTACATTTTCAACTCAGCAACCCATTTGCAGTGCAAAAATAGGGTCTAAATAATGGCTGAATTAGCCCTACTGGACAGTTTCAGATGTAACACTCTGTAATAATTATATTGCAGGCTGGATTAGGATGCTATTATCATAATCTGGACGTTTACAATTATCTGTAATTTGCAAAGATGCGCCAGGTCTTGATTACAGCAGGTTTTTTTTTATCAAGCTAACCATCACTAAACAGTGACAGTAATAACAGCTAATTTTGCTGGCAATATAAGAGGTGCTGGGGTGTGCAAACAATTTCACACCTGGATGTGCTCACTCAACCAAGAATATAGAGAAAGAGCTTCTGCCCTGAGACTCAGAAAAATATTCTCCACTGCTTCTGTTCAGTATAGATTTCTAGACCCCGATCCTTGCTTAGCAGATTTTCACAGGGGTAAGTTTTGGGGCTCGCTTGGGTTTGGGGTTGGTGTGTGACTGCTCCGCGCCTTGCCCGTCGAGGCACGCTCCTTCTTTACTCGTTCCCCAATTTCGCGGTCATTCGCGCTCCGGTGTTTTTCCTCGGCGGCCGGACCCAACAGGTCCGCGCCCCCTTTCCCTCCGCTGCTGCCGGGGCGGCGGGCGGCGCGGGGCGGGGATGCTGCGGGGGCCCCCCGGGTGCCGAAGGGGCGACGCGGGACTCGGCGGCCGGCGGAGAAACCATGCGAGCCCGGGGCCAGACCCGTCCACCCGTGCCCGCAGCGGGGCGGTGGCAGCGCGCCTTTCCGCACCTTTCCGCGGCTCCCCGCGGCGCTCGTCCCGCGGCCCCGGGGCGGCGAAACCCGGCGGCGGGCGGGCGGTGGCGGAGCCGGCGCTGGCAGCCCGGCGGCAGCAGGTTTGGCGCTGGCGCGGGGATTTGCCGCTGCTCCATCCATAGATGACGCTGTTTCACGAGAGTCTCCCGGGGTGTCTGCCGCGCGAGTGGGAGCCGCTGCTGCCATTCGCTCACACCCCGCTCCCGGGAAGGCCTGCCTCTCCCACCTTCTCCCACGCTACGAAGCTAATGGGGCTTTTTTATTACTATTATTATTATCGTTTATTTGTTCACTTGCTTGCTTGTTGTCTGGGCTTTCTTTAAGCCTATTTGAGAAATCACGCGTGGGAATGGAGGGCACGACTCACCGAGCGGGTTTCCGCACCGGCACCCACGCGGGCGTACAGGCGAGGACGAGCCCCCCGCAAGCCCACGAGAAGCAGCGAGCCCCCCTCTGCCCCCGCCCCCGGGGGCGGACCGCCCGCTGCCGGGCCCCGCTGGGCGGTGCAGCGAAAGGGTTAAGGCGGCTGCAGAGACCATGGGGGCCGGGGCCCGTCGGGCTGAGTTCGGCTGGGCTGGGCTGGGCTCCCCGGGCTGCGGGACTGGCTCACCAGGGCATCCACCGCCCTTCTGCGGAGCGAGGGCCAGCCTGCACAGGGGCCGGCGTGGGGGGGTGTGAAGCGGGGTTTTCTGAAAGATGCACACGATGCTGTTGGTTTAAATGTATGGTAGCTTTCTCTCCAGTGTCATTTGAATAATTCAGTGAGCCCCACTACCAGCTGTACTTCTGAAGCCTCTTCCATTCTTTTCAGCATTATAATTTTGGTTAATTTTCAATTTTAGGCCCTACGTCTCTGCAATTTGTGTATGAATAACAGAATAATTTTCCTCTTTTGTTTCGCCTTTCCTGTTCCTGAATCTAAATAAAGATGGCTTTTTAGTATTAAAAGTGGAAGAAAATTACAGGTAATTATCTTTGACGGTAAAAACGCTGTAATCAGCGGGCTACATGAAAAATTACTCTAATTATGGCTGCATTTAAGAGAATGGAAAAAAACCTTCTTGTGGATAAAAACCTTAAATTGTCCCCAATGTCTGCTTCAAATTGGATGGCACTGCAGCTGGAGGCTTTGTTCAGAATTGATCCTGGGGAGCTCTGAACCCAAAGTTTCACAGTGGGAAGGGGAAAAAAAGAAAAGAAAACATTTTTCCTAATGTAACAATACGAATGGTAGAAAATGACAAGACTGATCGGTTTTAAACCACTCTGAAGACTGACTGAGCGTGGAAGTTGCTCAAAAAAAAAAACAAAAAAACACCCCCCAAAAAACTGGTATATTGGTAAGTAGTCTTTGCTTTGTGTCTAATTATAGTGACTGTCCTTTTGCACGACTGTATGTAGCTGTCATTATATGGAGCACTCTGAGGATCTCTATTGACTTCTGATAAATGGCTCAGTGGTTTCAAGGTTCATAATTTGAAGGATGCCCAGGTCTCTAGCCATTAATTCTCGCAGTATGGGGCACCCAGCTTGGATGAGGAAAGGGCTTTTCATTGTCAGTAGTTGCTGTGCTTTCCACAAACTGGTGCGACTGGAGCTGGCTGGACAGCGTGTTGTGTGCCTGGGCACCTCTCAGGGCTTTGCAAAACATTCCTCGTCTTGCATTGTCTGCTCTTTAAAAACAAAGGAGGGCGCCTCCTTTCTTAATAATTTGGAGTCTCCAACCTTTGGGAAGAAAGACAGGGCTCTAAGCTTTGCCTCGGCGAGAAAGCTCAGCTCAGCTGAGCAGCGGAGCAGTGAAATCGCAGTAGAAATGACCGGATGGTTAGGAACTTCTTCTAGGCGTATCTTTGTGGACTCGGTATCTCCTGTCTTTAAGTCGTAGCCTTAAAACCAACCAAACCACCAGCTACCCCTCCCCTCCCCCACTTCATCTTTTCTTTCTTTGCTCGCAGATTTACGCTTTGGTAGGGGTCTCTGCGCACAGGCAAGCGGGGCACAGGGTCCCGCTGCCCGGGTTGAACTGGGGGGGCAGGTCGGGGGAGATGGGGATCCGCTAAGGTGGAAATATGAGCCAGGCGGGCATTTTGTGGCTTTTACTCTATATATATGAAAGAAGACAAAAACATACAAAGTATATGTACAACTAAAATTCAACAATATATACAGAAAGGTTGCTCGGGGAAAGGTCCCTCTTGCTCAGTGGGTTAGGCTGCTGCCGGGCAGCCCTGAGCCTTCCTTCCCCAGCCCGCGGCGGCGGGTCTGGCTGCGAATCCATCTCTCTGTCTTTCCTTCTCGTCTCCGGGAGTCTGTCCGGCTGTGTGTGGGTGCAGGTCTGTGCGGATGAGGGGGCTCTTCACGTGAGAGACGGTGGTTTCTTCTGAGCCGCAGCCCATTGCATTTTGAGAAAGCATGCATGTTTTGCTTCGTGGTAGTGTTCTAATCTTACAGTACATTTTCAGTTTTCAACCAGTTCTCCTTTTTTCCTTTTTTTTTTTTTTTTTTTAATCCTTCTTCTCTCTTTTAATCCTTTCCCCAGTCTGGATTTGGTGAATAAAAATGAAGGAGCTTTGACTAGTCTCTTTCATCATGTAATGTCTTTAGCTCATTAAACAAGTAAAAACGGCTGCCATTGTAGATTCAGGTTCTTGTGGGCAAAGTGTGTAAAAAGTTTGTTTTGACATATACTCCACCGAGAAAGAGGCTGGTGCCTTGGAGTCCAAAGGAAAATATCCTAAAGAGAAGTGTCTTCTGTGCGCCAGAATGAAAATTGTGTCTTTCTGTTCAAGATCAATCGCTGAGGATACTTAAAAAAAAAAAACAAAAACAAAAAAAACCAAGCCACTGTCTCTTTGCCGCATCTGCAAGTTCACACAGAGCCTGTTTGCTGGCATGGCTTGGCAAAGCAGGCGAACTTCTTGCCATGTCGAGACGAGGCGTTCTTGGGAGATTATTTCTCTTGGACAATTCACATCATTTGTGGTCTCTGCATTGTGTCTTGATGTGGAGAAGAATACCAGTGAGAATAGCCAGGCATGTAGCTGTTGGGAGGCATATTGACTCCCTTGGCAGAGGCTGAAACGTCCCAGACTGGAGGCAGAGCTGGAGAGCGAGGGGAGAGGGCAGCCGAGCCTGGTAGAGGGTCGCTCTCGTGGGGGTTACTGCCCTGCTTCAGCAGCTTCTTGAATTTGGAGCGCTTGTTCTGAAACCAGATCTTCACCTGTAAACCAAAACGCAGCAGATATTAGGCTGCCATCAGTGCCCACGGCACAGCAGGGGAGACCCCGGGGGCCGTGGGTCTGCTCCAGAGAAGGTCTTGAGTGCACACGCCAGTCGGGTGTGGAGTTGGGGATGGGAAGGGAGGAAGGAAGGATATCTACAGTTGCTCTTGGGCTCTGGATGCCGCTGAACAGGGGAGGCAGACCAGAGCTGGAAACCGAGAGGGATGCAAGTTTTAACCTGGAACGTTGTTTTCTTTGCGCAGGCCAGATTGTTCAAGCTGAAACAGACTACATATTCTGAGGTCTCCTGCTTTAGCACCTCATTCAGAATTTTGGAGGTCATTTGATCATTCGGGCAAACTGTTGTCAAACACACGCAATCATATGATTTTGTGCCAGGATACAGGAGCCAATAGACAAAGGGCATCTTACAAAGAAATCGTGCATCCGAAATCCACACGATCAGATCAAGTGGTCCATGCTGCTGTGATGGGGGAGGAGGCAAAATGGAACCAGGATTGTGGCTTTATTTTAATATATATTTTTAAAGAAAGAATAATTTTATTTTCTAGTGAGTAATTGGATATCAAGATTGCTTTGGGTCTCATCCTGCTCCTAACCCAGCAGAACAGGAGCCTGCACTCGATAAGATGTGCAAGGATCAGGCCCACTGGCAGATCAGAATTATTATAGAAATTATATATACCTATATAGGCATATATACACAACGTATTTTTTAAATCAGTCAAACAAAGAAAACAAAACCCCCATGTGTATTTGACCTCGCAAACTTTGCAGATGTAATGTTATGAGATAAACAGGAGTGCTCCTCTACTAGTGTGCTCAGGATCGGGCCACTGAAACAAATCTATGCTTGTGAGAGAGAAAGCGAGACAAAAGTGAAACAGAGTGTGCAAGCTAAGGATACTAAAATCTCATTTGCAAAACCATCAGGTCTATTCCCATCATTAATGTTTGCTGAGTATTTAAAAATCGCTGGCTGGAAGCAACTGTTACCAATGACAATGATAAAATCCTGAAGTTATTTGTTAAGCTCATAAATTCATATGATAACATTTTACCCGATTTGATCCCATCTATCCATGCACTTCTCCACAAACCCCAGCCTGGGAAGCCTGTAATGCCTCACATGTCTTTCAAGTTTAAATTAGCAGAATGGCACAGCTATTCCAACCACACTTAACTATGGCTTAACCTGCCATAATTTTGTACACGGCTGTCTTTGATCTTCAGATCTATTATCACCTTCCGTACATTTTGCCCAAGGCTAACCACTGCATTTGCGTTAGTCATCCAAGGTGAATTAACTATTGATTTTACAGGTATTTCCTAACGCGTCCCTGCTTCCCCTCTACCTACATACGTTGCTACGAGGCAGCTTTGCTTTTAGCTCTACCTCAGGCCCAGAGATTCCTTGCCTTTGTTTTGTTCTCCTTTTCATAGCTGAGCAATTGTATCTCGGTGCTGGAATTATCCGAAAATACAGGCAATTTTAAAATGTTATGTGTGGCATCAAAAGGGAGCGCTTGCTCGCCAGACGGCTGAGGGAAAGGCGCTTTCAGCTCCTTCTGCGGTAGCCCGGTCTCTGTCGCGCATTGGGTAAGTCCTAGGACATAGAGATGGGGATCGTGTGCATTACCTTTTCTACCGTTCCCGACAGAGGTTTAGGGAACATCATACTTTGCTTGGCCTTTATTGCTCGAGCAGGATTTCAGTCATTTGGGATTCCCAGTAATTACCTGTGTCTGGGTAAGTCCTAATGAAGCTGCCAGTTCAGCTCTCTCTGGAAGTGCCAGGTACTGGGTCTGCTGAAAGCGATGATTTAAAGCCTGGAGTTGTAGACTAGAGTAAATGGTCCGAGGCTTCCGAATCTTTTTCCCTTTTCCATTAAATCTGATTTCACCGTTTTCAATCACTGTGGTTTTTTGCTGATCTGCAAGCAAAACAACACAGGTGAAACATCACCCTCCTTAGCTATTAAACGCGGGTATTTTGGCTGCCACGGCTCCTAAAACCGCCGAAGCCTGTCCCGACGCGTGTTCAACCCCATCGCGTACACACAAGCTCCGTCTCCTTAAAGGCACGCGCGGCACAGGCTGCTGCCTAGCTACCGGGAGAAAAAACAGCTGTCCGGGCATAGTGGGCACGCTGCCTTGCCCCCGGGGAGCAAAAAATAATAATATTTTTAAAAACTTAAAGCGCAGCACTGGCTTTGCAAAGGGATGCCTTGTTCCAGGACCATCCAGGTTTTACTGAGCTAATTGACTTCGCGTCGCCAGTTTGGTGGTCAGTGAACCACCAGTCCGAGACTTTTAACAATGCTTTTCCCCTCCGCCCCCCCGCCGTGCCCCTCCGGATGGATACGTACGGTTCCCTAAAAAAAAAAGAAAAAAAAAAAAAAACAACAAAAAAAACCAAACCACAAAAAACCCAAAAAACCCCACATAAATCAGACGGCCCCCGAGCGGAATGCGACCCGCTCGCCTGGAAACTTTCACTCCTCAGGTGTTAGCAGGAATTTTGCCTAAAGCCGGTCCCGCCGTAACAAAGGAGCGCCAGTCGCAGTCTCTCGCCGCCGGCCGGGCAAGGAAGGCGCCGGTGCGCTGCTCCGCGGTACCGCCGGCAGCCGCCGCCAGCGCGGGGGAGCGCGGCGGCCCCGCCGCCAGTACCGCAGCAGTAGGCCCGCAGAGGGGCCGCGGAAACAAGCAATCCCCCACCTTCTCTCCCCGCCTCCCGGCGCACCCCAGAGCTGGCGCTTGCCTCGGCGGGAGCGGGGGGCACGGCGGGGGTCGTTATGCAGGTGCCCGGGCCGGGGGGGCCGGGGAAAGGCCCAGGGATGGAGGGAGCGGGGCGAGGAAGTGGCAGTAGGTTGGGCAAGCGGTGCTGGCTCACCTGCATCGTCCGCCCGCGTCTGGCTGGCCGCGCTGCTGTTGTGGTAGGACTGGAGGTAAGGGCTGTGCTGCGAGTGGCTCACGTAAGGGTAGGCGGCCAGCGAGCGGTGGTTGTAGGAGCCGGCGCTGCCGGAGTAGGGCGAGCTGTGATGGTGATGCTGGTGGTGCGGGTGCGAGCCGGCGGCGGAGTGCAGGCAGTGCAGCGGGTAGTGGGCGCCGGCCATGGCCGGCGAGCTCTGCTGGGAGTGGGGCGGCGGCGGCGGCTGCGGCGGCGGCGGCTGCTGTTGCCCGAACTCCATGAAGGCGGATTTGGAGGAGTCTTGCGCGTCCAGCCCGTCAGCCATCGTAGTCATGGTCATCATCAAAGTTTGGGAGGGAGAGCGCGGCGCTCCCCGGCTCGCCCCCCGCGCTCTGCCTCCTCTCTGCCCAGCCACCGCCGCTCCCCTTACCCGCCGCGGCACCGCTGGAGAGGCGGCGGTGATTTAATTTAATTTCTTTTCTTTTTTTTTTTTTTTTTCTTTTCCGCCTTTTTTTTTTTTCCTTCCCCCCCTCCTCTCCAAGGAGCCGTTCTGCGAGGGGCCTCGTTCACTGAGGGAGGGGAGGAAGGGGAGGGCGGTGTGCGGGGTGTGTGAAGGGGGAGGGCGGGCTACTCCCGCCGCTTTTTTGCGCCGCTCTTTTCCTTCATCCCCCCGGCGCGTGGGGTGGGTGTTGTTTTTTGTGGGTTTCTTTTTTTTTTTTTTTTAATGGAGGGGGGGCGTGAAGGGTGGGGGGAGTTGAAGGTGGGAGCCGGGAAAGTTGGGACTCCGGCGCTCCGACTTGAAGGGCAGGGACGCGCACAAGTCGAATGGTTCGTCTCCGGAGGGCAGCGCCTCCCTCATTGGTCACTCGGCCCCCTTACGTCATAGCCGGCAGCGCGCGCTGCCCGTGCCCGCCCCCCTTTCCCCCCCCCCTCCCGATTTTCCCCACACGCGCGTGTGTGGAAGAAACGCACGCGGGTGGGGAAAAGGGGAGCGTCTGCCCTCATTCCCCCATCCCCCCTTTCCCCCGAGTCAAACATTCCCCCACTACACGACCCCCTCCATCCACCCACCCACCCGCGCCTCCTTGCGCGGTATTTTCGCTGCGGCGAGGAGACGCGCAGCGCATTTTTCTCCACTGAACGCAGCACCAGCAGCAGCTCCCGTAATGGCTTTCAAATATATGCAAATGGCTACGTGCGGTTGGCGGTTTTGGCAAAAAGCTTGATTAGGATATAAACGACCCAAGGAAAAAAAAAAAAAAGTGCCTGTGCCCTAAATTTGTCTTTAGATTACAATTCCAGTTGATTTTATTTTATTGTCAACATTGTTAATGATAAAAATAGAGTCGTTTTACAGTTATTTTTACTTTCTGGAAGGAGGCAATTAGACTTCTAATCAGGAATACACAAAAATCTCCCATGATTAACTGCAGTACTTTGTTCAAATTGCTGCTATAAAATTCAGAACAATTTGCCTGTAATGATTATGGACTGGGTTTATTTTGGGAGGTGGAATAAAAGTGGATATAGCATAAATTATCCTCTAATTATACACCAGTGTCGCCTCAATTATCCTCTTATCAAAATGGTTGTCTAACTGCCGCATTTAGTTTCAATTCTCTCCTTTTTTCTATAAAAAGAACTTCATACCTTGTTATTATTAATCCATTTATTATTTGCAAGGGGATTTATATCTGAACATCCAGGTGGTATCACCACTTCTCTTTCAAAGATGGACTAGGGAAAGACATTAAGTTTGATCCAGCTCGGCGAAGGATCTCTCTCTCTCCTCTCTTCTCTCTCCCCCCTCTCTCTCTCTCAACCCCTCTCTCTTTTTTACCCCTTTGCCTCACTTAAATCTCCTTGCGTCCAGCTAAGCATGAACTCCAGAGACAGACCCCACCGGAGAGGACTGAGGTAGGAAGGATCCTGCGGAACTCGCTAGGCATAGAGAAATCCGAAAGTTGCTCTAGATGGGGAAAGAGGCTGGAGGTTTCGGGCTTTAAAAACCAACACCGGCACTAGCAGCCGCCGCTTCCAAAACCCACAGACTTCCCCAGACCGATCTCAGGTCCTGACACTGCCTCTCACTGGGACATTCCCCAAGGACTGGTTTTCAGATCTTGCATATATATATATTTTAACGCGTCGCTTGTGGAAATATTTAGAGCGTTTTAATTTTTCTTTCTGAGATTTTTTTTCTCTTTTCCATTCCTTCATTTATTTTGAAGTTTTGTTTCTCCACAGCCCGGTCATTAGCTCTGGGAAGCCGAAGGTTGGGACTACCCTGTTCGGATACCGGTGGGGGGAAGTGTGGAGGGGGAAGGGGGATGCGAAGCGATGCTCGATCTTTGGCAGGGCATAACCCATAGTCTCTCAGCGCTTGTTGTTCATATGGCTTGTTTCAGGGGTGTATGGGGGAGGGATGTCTTTTTTTTTCTGTGTGACTGGGATGTTCTGAGCCCCTTTACCCACCCTCTCATCGTTGTTTCACTTCTTGAGCCCTTGGAGTCGGTTCAGTAACTCTGAATGCAGTTTTAAGTGTCTTGCCTTGTTCTCCGGCTTTTAACAAGAGTTCCACTTTAACACGCGAAAGGGTAACCCGATCCAGGCGTTTACAAAACTACAATGAATAAAAATATAGAGAAAGGGGAAGAGAAGGGAAAGAATTCCTACTGAGACTCTTTATTCATAGGTGTAGGTAATGTACTCAATAGGAACAGGTACATTTGGCAGTTTTATTGCTTTATACCCTCCAGCTTGCTGTTAACATCATGAAGGCGGTTTTCTTTCGCAGGTGCACATACTAGCATTTTCTCCAGCAGCAAGAGCACGCATAACAAAAGATGTCAGAAAATAGGCTGGGGAGTGTTTGCAACACGTTGCTTTCTTGTTTCGAAATAATTCCTGCCACATAATGAATGCTAACCCCGGAATGGGAAAAAGTTGAGCAGGAGAGGGGACCACTTTGAAATAATACCTATATGCCTCCTTGAGTCAGATAAAAAGAAGAAGAAAAAGCAGGGAGAGTCTGCAGGAGCTGCTTCCTGCGATAGGCGGCAAATGGAGTTACATGTGCATCACTTGCTCAACGTAGCTGACAGAAGAGCTGCGGTGGGGCGAGCAGGACAAGCAGGGGCTTCGGATGCGGGACGGGGGGAATGGCGGTGCGTGGAGGTGCGGAGCCCCCGCCGAGTCATCGGTGGGCGCCAGTCGGAGGGAAGAGCCGGAAACCTGGCACTCTTTCTCCGCGGTGCTCAGACATCCTTGTCTGTCGTCAAGACAGTTCACTCCGTCCAGCCTCACACCGATAATTTACCCCAATTTAATTAAGCCCACCGGGAGTCGCGGGGTGGGGGGCAATAAGCGCCCGAGCCGCGTCCTTGTAGAGGCGGAAGCTGCAGGGATATTTCTTCTCCGAGGGTAGGGCAGGCTCTGGGCCCGCGCTCTGGCGGGGGATGCCGGGTCGCCCGGGAGGTTCCCGCCCGCCGGAAAACCGCGCTGCCGGGCACCGGTCCTCCCTGGCTCTGACTTGCGTGCAGACGAGCTCCGTCGCCGGGCTCTTTTTGAAGAAATTAGACCTGAATAATTAGCTCTGGTCGCACGGGAGCAGTGGGGTGCTCATTTCCCAGGGTGGGTAACTCGTGAAAAAGGGGTGAGGACGGGCACCCCACACCTCCTAGTCCCCGCACCTTGAAGTGCCTTCGAAAGCGAGCAGGCAGCAGTCACGAGTGAGGGGGCTCCCCATGAGGGGAGCCGCCTTTCCTCAACGAGCTTCCCGAGAGTTGCGCGGGACCGGGAGGGTCAGGAGTCCCACCGGATGGGGCAAGGTGCGAGTTAGGGGGTGGCTGAGGACTGCCCCGAGGCGGGAGCCCCTGCACCGCCTCCTGTGAGCACCCGTCCCTCCCTGGGAAAAGACAGCAGGAATTCACCGCATGTGACACCCTTCCTGGCTTCTCCGCTCTTTCCGCGGCCAAACCCGAGCTCCCGGAGGACTAGGCTGCAGCCCTGGCGGATGGCGATGGGGACGTGCCCTGCGCGTGGCTCTGCGCCTTGTCCGATCTGGACCGTGGGTACCATCGCACTCTGCCTGCACATCCCTGGCCGGGCTTCCCTCCTCGGTTTAAATATTAATATTTCCTGCGAATATTAAACCCCTCGATTTAACATTCCCAGGAAATGCACCCTCGCTCGCCTGGAGAGCAACGAGGCCTTTGCATCCCTAGCGGGCTTGGGGCCAGTCCCTCTCCGCGCCCGGGCTGGCTGAGAGCCGCGGGGGCAACGCTGCTTCCCCTCCCCGCCTCCCCCGCGATCCTCCCCTGCTCCGCTGACTGTCGGAGAGCGTGGCACCGCGCATCGGGCTCCTTGTGCCCCAGGACTGGGTGACTTCGTGAGATCGGTCTTCAGTGTCATCCTAAACCGCGCCGCTTTAATGATGTTTGCGGGTAACACTTTCAAAGGGCCAAAGCGTGTGTGTGTGGTTTGAAGGCACAGTTGTGAGTCGAAAGATGTCACACAACAGATACAACAGTCAGAAGGAGCTGATGAACAACAGGAAACGGGGTTCTATTTTTAGGGTGTAATAGGAAGTTAATGTAAGCGGTCAGAGGCTTCCTATATGCCTCCGAGCACCTTCTGTTCCATTCATTCATTCATTCATTCATGCGTTCAACAATAACAACAGGGGAAAACAAACATTCTCGTTCTGTTTCTCATCCCCTCCCTTCCCGGGAAGTCCTGCTGTGGTGTTTGCAAGGGTGGGCTCTGCAAGTGCAGTCCCTCTCTCGGGTTGTTTAGCGTGTTTTTTGGTTTGTGGGGAGGGGTGCGATAGCTGACGCTGTTCCTCAGGCGAGGCTCCTCCAAGATGCTCTCGCAGAAGGAGCTGAAGGCTGCGCTCTGGGATTATGTATCCCCTCTCCCCATTTCACACCAGAGCCCGGGAAAGTGCTTTCTGTCTCACACTGGTCAGAGTAGCTGTGAAGATCCGAGAGAAACTTATTTCAGGAATTATGTTTTTGTATGTTTTCCCGCGAGAAGCCCATGTATGTGCATGAAGCGGATCTTGAAACACGATTTTTTTTGGTGTGTCAGAGAAATGCGGGGAGGAGGGAAGGCAAAGATTAGTGCGGGATCTCCTGAGTTTTTTAGCAACAGTGTAGAATCCACAAAGCAATCGAAAGGTACTCGGGAGAGAACGGGATTCTCCGGCAGAGGTGTGTGCGGAAAGTCTTGAGAGAAGCGGAAAGCCAGAAAATATTCCTGCTGGCGGCGATCCGCTCCAGACGCGTTTTTGCGGAGAGGCTCGCTTCGCAGACACACGGCACTTTCCCCACTGGACCTCGGCTGTGGCGGCTGACAAAGTTGCGCCCCCGCCCCGCGCATCGTCGCTCCGCGGGTGTCCGCGGTCGCACCACGCGGGTGTGCGGGGCACTGCCCGGCACGACTCGGCTCGGCAGCCACCGTCCTCCCCTAGCAACCCACTCTATGTACAGCTCCCAGAACCTATAGCAAAATATCCCTCCTTGCATCTGCCGATGACATTTTTTTCACCGGTCTCTCAAGCCTATTTACCCCAAAACACGTCCTCCTCTCCTTTTGCCAGTATGTCCTAATACCATCTTCTAAATGGCAGCAAAATGGCGAGGAAAGGCACCCGCTAAAGGAGGTCACCTCCTCAGACTGGAA